CTAGTTTCTTGGTCTAACGTTGAATTACCGACACCTTAGTAGTGAGCATTTGAAGAAAAAGGAGATTCTTGTCTTATTAGATCTGGACCGTTCGGTTAACGGATGCTACCGATTAAGGGAAGAGAGGATCAAAACAAAAATCAGAGCTCTGGTGGTTGATGCTTTAGTAAGTGACTTTGTACTCGGTATGGACTGGATGAATTATTTCGATGTTATTATTAGACCACGACATAGACAAATACATGTTCATTCGCGCCGTCAACAAACTCTGATCCCATTTGATGACGATTTACCTATTGATGTTAAATTAGTTCAGCAATATACAATTTTACCCCGTGAAGAAGCTATTGTTGAAATCAAAACACCCATCATAGCAGCCAAACATTTGTATCATGAGGCAATAAATAAACAGATGCAAGAACAAAAACGCATATCCGTGAGTGACGGCTTAATTGTAGTAAATGAGTATAAATTTAAAGTTAAAGTATACAGTTTATCAACATCCCCAGTAACTTTACAACACAATATGCACTTTGGAACAATATCCCGTTTATCGGTCAACACATATTTTTCGACTATGATGGAACAAGGAAAAATACCAGCGAACGACTTAACTGGACAAGAAAATCAAAACATATTTTGTAAAACAACATCAATCAGTACCATTATTGATTCATTAGTCAACCATTTGGGTCAGTCTAATCAACAACAGCAAATCAAATCAATTTTAGAAGATTATAGTTCTTTATTTGATACAACAACCCCAAGAAAAGTAATCACACTGATTCACCATGTCGTTGATACTGGAGATCATTCCCCAGTGACTGACAAAAAATGTTTAATTGCTGTTCAACAGCTAGAATTTCTTAGTCATGTCATTACATCCGACACAATTGAACCATCTAAGGAACGAATCCCAGCAATTTTGGACATTCCCGAACCCAAAACCTTAGCACAAGCAAACCGATTTATCGGTAAAATTGGATGGTATAGAAAATTTATCAAAAATGAATTATCAAATTATTTAATTTAAATTTATCAAAAATTATTTAATTTTTCTCATTTCAGGTGTGGCATCGCAGTTCCTGAGAGTCGCAGGATCAATATTTCTTTAGGTGTGGTAATTCCGAAAACGACGAATGAAAATATAGCCATCAGCCACGCTGAACTTGCACTAACATTTATTTTTCAAAAAAGTTTCAAAAACCTAGTGAAAACCTATATGAGTTGAAATAACCCATTTTTGCCTTTTTTTCCCTATTTTCACCGAAAATTGAAAACTAGTAACTCAATCGAAACCCAGCTGTCAGACTATGAAGATGTACTGTGTTTTACTTACTCAATGTGATTTTTTACTTAAGAATAGTAAAGAATATCGTTGCGATTCGAAGGTTTCTAGAAACTTTTTTAAAACCCAAAGTATTTTCTGTTGATTTGTATAGCTTTTATTGACCTCCACAGCATTGAGCAGGTAAAATAGAGTATTTCTTGATCGTCTGACATAATTTAGATGCGTTTCGACTGAGTTATGAATTTTTTAATTTTCGGTGAAAATAGGCAAGAATGGGTTATTTCACCTCATATAGATTTCACTAGGTTTTTGAAACTTTTTTTGCAAAATAAATGTTACCACAAGATCTCTATCTTTTAACAGGCTTGAAACGGAAAACAACCGCGGGTTCTGTACGTTGAAGTATAGTGAAAAAGAATTTGCGCAGGAGAGAGCCCATTTTGGGCCTTGGTCTCTAGAAAACTCCTGAACACTGAAGTCTAGCGGCGAAAAAAAATTTCACAACTTTACTTTAATGTGCCAAACACTGGTGGAAAATTTTTCACGGCAATCCCATGCACTGTAGTAGTAACCGTAGTGGTTGTAGTTGTCGTTGTACCTGTAGGGAACGAAGTTCATTTTGCTGTATGAAAGTGAGGTTAGGCAAAAGCAAGTCACCTTAACCGAATTCACCCAAATTTTAAAATAAACCGGTTACAGCAGAGGCTCTGCAGTTAGACAAATGCTTTTTTGAAATACGGAATTATAACTGGCTAACAGAGAACCTGACATTTTACGGTGGCTTGTACTTTGATCACTACAGTTTCAAAATCATATTGTACGTCGTCTGTCCGCAGTGAATGCAAAGCCGGACAATACATACTTGTTGTACTTGTTGTGCTCGTTG